TATGTATGTATGTATGTATGTATGTATGTATGTATGTATGTATGTATGTATGTATTCTGCATGTATGTATGTATGTATGTATTCTGCATGTATGTATGTATGTATGTATGTATGTATGTATGTATGTGTGATGGTGAGCAACCTCCGTCGGCCCCCTCCCCCACCCCCCCTACGGAGAGAACCGGTCGTGCTTTACAGGGGGGAAAACTAAACAGCTCCCAAGCAAAATTCCACAGGGGGGTGGGGCGGATTCCATCCAACCATTCCACAGCGCGGGAACGAGGGCGAAACTAAACTCCGAAGCTCAAGGCCCAAGCTTCCAAAGTGATAGGGGGGATGACCATACACCCGGACCGTTCCTACAGCAACCAATACCGACATTATTTGGCAGTAGGAACTAATTAGTGTACAATAAAACACGGCCACCAAAAACCACATATGCGGAGTGTGGTAAACCCTCGCAGAGTCGCAGGAGGGAGCGGCAACCCAAACCAGAGGAGGTGGGGGAGGGAAATAGCCAGGTATCGGTTTTCATGGTCGCATATGGACCATTGGGGGGAGGGGATGCCCGCCGGGGCGCAACCATACACTAGACATGTCGTAAGGCTTGCAATGCAGTTGCTTGAAAGAAGGCATTACTTTCCAGGTGATGAACCGAAAGTTGCAGCCTCGCTCCCTTCTTCATGGAACTTTCTCTGTGCCACCAGCGCGAAAGGACTGTTTCTGATCAGTTTGTGGGCTGTCACCAAAATAAATGCATTAAGGGTGTTACACTCGGTTTTGCTCAGGCTTCGGTCAGATTGATCTGGAAAGCTGCCCGCGGTATATATTCACTGTAAACTACCGTGAAAAACGTCTCGCGGTTTGCACAAGTTTCTTTGATCTCAAGTCGGCGCTCACAGTCAGCTCCATGATGCTTCATGCCGAAAACCCCTCAGGCGTATCGCGAGAACAGTAATCTGGATCTTGACTGGCATCCAAATCGAGTTCTGCCTCACGTTGATTCTGAAAAGGGGCCGCACAACTATGCCCAAGGGAGGTAACCTGAAATCTCAAAGACACGGCCAACTCAATGGCTTCAGGGAAACACGTAAGGGAAGGCGACTGGAAGCTAAGCATGTTGTACCCTATCTGCGCAACAGCTCTTTCATTGCCAAACTCAAAGAAGGCACTGGTTGAACTGGTGCTGGAGACGGTGGAGCTTGTCCCGGTGCCTGTCACAGTGGTGCCCGTGCGGGTGATGGTACCTCAGCATCGCAACTCTGCAGATTGAACATTGCTCAAACTGGTCCTGTTGGGGTACGAACTGCCCTGATCTAGACGACGGCGTCTTCTCGCAAGAAGCTCAGAAAGCACATATCTTGCTGGGCGTCTGGTTGTCAGAGTTGTGGATGAAGTGGTGGTCGATGAGCTCAGCGTCATAGTGGTGATGGAGGTGGAGGTTCGCCTGGGGACCAGTGACAGGCAACTCATCGGCACTGACCATCAACCTCAAAAACACATCAAACACAAGACCTCTACAACTCTTCCGGATCCGCGTGCCCCTGCTGACGCACACGCGCTGATGCACATGTACACTACGACAGACAAGGCGAGAACGAGGTGGAGGTCCCTGAGGTTGTCAGTGATGTAGCAGTACTTGTTGTTGCGGTCTGGGTTGTACTGCTGACCTCGGGTGTACACGTAACACGTACCCGAGAAGCATTGGCCACTGAAGAGATCCACCAAGCCGCTGAAGTGGTGCTTTCAGTTAAGGTCGTGGTTGTCCCTGTCGTGCCCAGGTATGTTGTCGACGTGGTGGTGGTGTTTGTCAACGTCGTTGTCGTGGTGCCTGCACGTCAGGTCGACTTCCGAAAAGCAGTCGCACCGTCTCATGTTATCAAACCAAGCTGCGTGTGGTTAGTGTGGACGATGATGATGTAATACTGCTAGAGGTCGATGTGACAGAGGTCAGTGTCGTTGAAAGCGTGCCTCAGCAGCAGCCCGTGACAAAGCAATCTCACCGTCAAGGATTCAACAAGCAAGAGTGGCTCGAGCGCGTTGTGGACGTAGTCGTGGCAGTTGTGGTTGAACTCCTGAACAACTCAACGATGATCGCCATGCCATGTGCTTGCAGAGAGAATTACGATCATGAATCTAAAGAAAACCCTCCAAGTGCACTGCCTGATTATTCTCGAGACCGGGACAAAGCTTAAAAAATCGTTAGCGTGACCAGTGTGAGCTGCCTGGTGCTTGTCAGAGATGTATGGGTTGTTGACAGCGTGGACGTTGACGACCGGCTCGTCGTCGTGTGCGTACGGCTGGTGACCGTCAGAGAAGCCTGTGGGAGACCAAGGCTATGGCGAGCAACAAACATATCACTGCACCGACTGGGGGCCACAGCGGGTGACAGCACCGTTGCAGGGCTTCTGCGCCGATCGCAACCCACGAACTTAGACTGCTGGGGAAGCGACAGTCATCGTGGTAGACCTTCGGAAGCACGGCGATTCGGCTCAGTTACACTGACATGACAATGCCACGGCTCGACACAATCCATATCTGGAACCGATATCTATCTCAAAGATCTTGCACAAGGCACGAGTCTAACGTCCATTCCCACGAACACGCCCACGCAAATCAGACGAAGACTTAGCCGTCCGGGCTCCGAGCGAGGATGCTGAGGAAGTGGAGCTTGTGGTCTTCGTGGTTTCTGTGGAACCTGGGAGACGCTCGCTCAACCGGAGTATGTCAACGAAATGTGGACAGCCTTGTCATCGTCATCCTCAGCATCATCATCGTCGTCGTCATCATCAACACCATTATCGCCATCGGCATCCTCAACGTCATCAACGTCATCGTCCTCATCAAATCCATCGTCATAGTGATCATCAAGTCGGTGTCCTTGGTCCCGTTCTCCGTGGCCCTCGGCCTCGCACTCGTGGCGGTCCTTCTCCTCCTCCTACGACCACCACCACCACCGCAGCAGCAGACACTCCGCCGAGCTGCTTGGCAAACCAGTAGCAGCCCACCGTGTTGTAAAGAACCAATCAGATTTGCAAGACATGGTGGGACAAACGATCCCTTGCATCTCTGCTGCAAACCTGAGTCATCGGCAATTCTGAGACAGCGATAAGTGCTGCTGGGTAGCTCGAAGATGTTGTCACTGTCGTGGTGGATGAACTTGTGGTCTGAGTGGTGGAAGACACCGTAGTGCTTGAGCCTCATGCTGCCAGCTTCAAGCCCAAACTGGAAAATCTACCAGATGGCAGCTTGCCAAGCGCCATCTTCATCTCAGTCAACAAACAACTTGATTTCAGCGATTCCCCGAAGCTTGTCGGGTCAAGACCCACATTGCCTTATTCGATCACTGCCACGATGAGACTCCCAGACAACCCGAAACTGTAGGGCATCAGACAATCAACAACGGAAACATGAAGTGCAAGTGCCAAACTGAATGTGGTCGAACTGGTGGTGGTTGTGCTAGTAGTGTCACCTTGGTCCAGGAAGATTCTCCCATTTAGACAGATGAGTTCTCGCACTGCCAATGTCTGCAAGCCTGGTCAATCAACCAATCCTGCAGTGCATCCTAGCAAGAGCGGAGCCACGTGGTGTAGCATGCAGAGAGAGCTGAGAACTCCATCTCAGGGCTGGGTGCCCAGCAAAATGGCGGCGCCTCGGACCCAGAGAAACTCAAGATGCATCATGAAAGACACACCTGAGTCCATAGACCTGCAACTAGCCTGCAACACTCGAGGAACACCCCGACTGGATGCGCGGGCCTGAGCCACAATCTACATAATCGGATAATCCTTTCCAGGTGTCAACATCAAAAGATTGAGATGCACCCGTGTTGGCGGATGCCTTACACGGATCCACCATGACATCGCACACTGCCAAATGTTTGGAGCGAGTCGTTGGATGGGTGTGATTCGTGGGATGCGACAGTTGAACTGGCAGGAAGCAGCTTGCAGGCGCAGACTTCATCTAAATGTGCGTTCAGTGTCGATGTCCGGGTGCAGGGTTTAATTCGCAGACTGCGTAGGATGCTCAGCTCCTCCCGGAGATTGTGCTGGGCTCCCTGGCTCTGCCGGTGCTGAAGACGCTCATGGGACCTTCAACGCATAAAGGGTGCGTTGTCCCACGACACTGCTCAAAGGAAGCCATGACAAAAAAAGGCATGGAGTCTCAGATAGGCAGCAGGCAGCGGCTGTAGCTCCCGATGTCTGCGATGCTGATCTCCTGTGCCTCCAAAGAACAGCTGGCCAATACAAATTGAACTGAAGGTGCCAGCACATCCCCACATCAATGCTACACGAATCGGAAGGCCCCAAAACTCTGAAGAAACCCTGTCTACTCATTTGTGCGTGCCAACCGCCGGCCTCGGACGAAAACGACACTGCCTGGAGAAGCAGCCAGACCTCTGAAGTTCGACTTCGATGCTCTCAAATCAGGTGGTTGCTGCAGCTTAATTACCCGGGCCCGTTCAGGGAATCTTTTTGCAGATCCAGCGCACTGAATGTTTTGCAATCTGCCGGCAACACACTTCGATCCGGAACGCTTACCTTTCTCGTGTTCTTGCAAGGCGTAAGAATGGAAAATCATGCAGTATGGAAACGACACCTCACCCCACACGAAGGCACACCTCCCCGACAAACAACGATAAGGCTGTGCAAACAGAACTCGTAACGGCCCAGCTCTAAGTCCGAGGTTGCTGCCGCAAGCCACTTCGGCGTGAATCCTGTCAACTGTCCAACGTGAAATCAATCATCACATGCGTGCAATTCCTTTAAAGGCCAAGTTGCCAACGCGTTCGCTGAAGGCAACTACAGATAAAATGGTTTTGCATAAGCCCGGTCACACAATAAAGGCTAAGTTCAAGTCATCTGCCACACCACATCCCTTTCCCATAAGATCGTCGGCTTCACGACCCATCTCCACATCAGCGCTCGCGGGAGAAATTGAGAAAGTCACCTCCAAAGGCAGAAACAGTAGTCCGGCTTTTTTTGGAAAGTGGAACAGATCGCTGATGTACTCTTGGCAATCAAGTCCGCCTACGGCTCCAGGAATTCGAAAGTATCGGACAAGGATCGGGTGCTTGACAGCCGTTTCGCGGAGCCCTCCACGGCTCTGACCTTCGACCCAAGTCGTCGCTTGGTCCACCATGATGCTGCGGAGGAGGAATGGAGCTGTATTTACATGGAAGTCCAAGCGCATCATGTACATCTGGTATGCCGAAGACAAACAAATCAGACTGGCCCATGTGCATGGCCTTTCTCTGGCTTCACTACATGGCTAAGGGTTTCGAGCCTGCAACGCGTCATGCAAAAAATGATTATAGTGTTGGGCTCGTTTGGCTTGTTACTCGCCACGCGTTTTTGGCGTCCTCTAAAAGCTTGTGCCCATGAACAAAACGGTGCTGTTGAAGAGAGGGGGCCTGGAAACAAATTCTAACATGAACCCTAACAAGAACATGAAATGCCTCTTTGAAGCAGCCGGCAGGCCAAAGCCACTCTCCATGGAAGGGCCTTAAGCGAAAGTGTAAGTAGGCCGTAACAACACGTTCGAAAGAAACAGTTTCCACACAAGCACTTGGGTCGTAGCAATGAATGGTGCACGTACACCTCGAGGCAACTCCAAACTGATTTTAAAACCGTTCAAACCCAAGATACCAAGCAAGGCACCGAAGGTCACTACCAAAGCAAAACTTCAGCAAGTCCAACCAAGCAAACCAAGCTCAGACACTCGGACAACACTTCGGCACGCGCTTGTGCTCGTTCTTGAGCCAAAGGAAAACATTGCGTAGGCTCTTCAAACCCTCCAAGTCAGAACTGCACCTAACCAGAGAGGCTCCAATCAGCTACAACAGGACTGAAAACCTACTACTTACTACTTACTACCTACTACCTGCTACCTATTTCCTACCTACTTACTACCTATACCAACTACTTACTTCCTGCAACCTACTACCTACAACCTAACCTACAACCTACAACCAACAACCAAAAACGTACAACCTATTACCTCCTACCTCCTACGTCCTCCCTACTACCTGCTTCCTCCTACCTTCTACCACTACCTACGACCTACTACCTACTACCTACTCCCTACTCCCTACTACCTACTACATACTACATACTACCTTCTACCCACTACCTACTACCTTCTGCCCTACTACCTCCTACCTCCTACCTACTCCCTACTGCCCCCCCGACCCGCACACACGCACCCCCTGAGCAATGGGCCGCGCCAACGAGCATCTCCGTGTGCTTCTGGATGGCGAAGTGACCACTGAGCTGTTCGAGCAAGCTGCTGACCACTGCGCGCCAGCGGGCGAACGGGCCGCCTGATCACTGAAACGTGCGGGCCCGACAGCACGGCAAGGCAATTTTCGCACAGCGCTGGGAACGGAAACCACAATCAGAGCTCCGGCTCCAGCATTCGACCATCTCGAGAGCCAGTATGCTAGGAGAAATTGCGCGATCGCCCTGATCATGTCCAAGCTCTGTGCACTTGGCCAGCATAGCGTGCTCTTAAAGCTACGCACGCGGGCATGAGGCCGATTCGACTCGACTTGACGGTGGCTCAGCACATGACGAAGTCTTCCTGCTTTCCTCTAAGGCGTGTGCCCTGGCCCATGCTACCCAGCAAGTGCGTTTCTGCTAAACATGGGAACGAGCTGTGGGAGGAGAGACGAGTCCTCGCTGCTTGAAGCCCTTGAGAGTAGGAACGTCGTTTTGCATTCGGGCCATGTTGGCGTCACGGCGCCGAAACTTTGTCGGGACGGCCTTGGCCGACAAGCGTTGAGTTCCGCGTGAGCCGTTGACGTGGTTGCATGTCGCTACGGGTCTTGCAGTGTGCGTGGCTCCTTTAATTTTGCTAGGCATCCCGGCGAAGCAAACATTCGCTGCGAACAAGCCACGAAGTCTCTGCTGACAATACTACAACAAGCCACGACAATATACAGAAGAGTGCTAAATGCGGTCTCGTCAGCGTGCAACGCGAGCGTTACGCGTTGTTGAACGCATTTCTTTGGTATGGCACAAGCTCGTCTAGGTGGTCTGGAGTTCCGCTTTGACTGGATGCTTTGGGCGCCTTGTGACAGGAAGTATGGGGTCCGGAGCTTGACTTTTGGCCACCGCGGCGCTGCTTCACAAGACTCATGGTTGTCCCGCTAGCAACAACACGAAGCCGTAGTATGCTGAACGCAACCATAGGCCTGGGCCATAGGGGCTTCAAGTACTCCACAGCTACTGCCAGGTTCAAGGCTGCGCACAACTGCTGAGTCTGCAGTCGGCACGGTACCTTTGCACTAGTCCAATTAATTAAAGCCTGCTGACGCCTGCTCCTTTGGAGCATCCGCTAAGCACTCTACAAAGGTATCTCACAGTTGTTGCGAGAGTCTCTTCCTGCCCCGGTGCATTGAGGCATATTGAGGCATGTTCAAGCACTCATGACTGACCTTTGAGCTGCAGGTGCTTCAAGAGACTGCAGCAAGCGCCACGACGGCCACGATCCAAACAGAGTACATTGTTGGACCCACATGTGATTCACATGCTCTCGTGAAAATGAGTGCAAAATACAATAAAGCAACACAAATAAATACGACATGTCATCATGAGAAATCATAAACACCCCGCCTACAGACAATCTTGGCCTGGCAAGAGGATCTGTACTTATGATTCTCTTCTTGTGTTCAAACACACAAGGTTCACTTCTCTCATGACTGAAGAATGTTCAAGAGCTCTGCCGTCAAGGTCGTTGGCTCATCGATGCTACGTAGCACTGTACACTACGCCTAACGAAAGTTCCGTCCAACAGCTCCGATGACGCAACAGCAAGCTTGACTTACGCAAGCGGACGCATTCAAGTGGGTGTCATGCGATTTCAATGCTCCCCATCAAGCAGTGGATGTTAGTTTAACAACTCCACACGGCTAAGATTATGATGCCTAATTGCATCGAGCTGCAAGGTTGCTGCTCCTGTGGACTGTTCAGCATTGGAAGAATAAGATTCTGGAGTTAAGACAACTTTTCCAGCAATGGGTCACTGCTCAGAATTCAGATGGTGTTGATTCAGAAGCCATCTACATCGAATCCGCTGCATGCGCGGCTTCGCTTCCTACTGTTGATGTCGTCACGCGACTTCGTCCACAATCATAGCAATCTGAGAAGGTACTTCTGCATCTCTAACAAATCCATGTCTGCAAGGGCACCTGCTCTACAGCGAAGTCGAAGTTGGTAAGTTCGTTGGTATTGACAGCAAATTGCTGCATTGCATGGCATCGTCTTCTGTTCAAGCAAGCTATGTACAACTGAAGTTCGCTACAGCAGCCTATGTACAATGCCAGGCTGTGAATCCAATGTCAAAGCAGTGGACTCACTTTCCAGCGCACCATGAGCATATTCAAGCTTTACGTGGTTCAAGCTGAGCCGCCGTAGCAACACTTGCATTTCTTGAAGTCTTGCCTGATTGCCTCTCTCGCCGTAATCTGCTCAAGTACTTTTGTATTTCCAAGCGTTCCACATCACGTGGCATGATATGACTTTCTTCGCGACTTTGTCACCCACACAAGCTGGTTCCGCAAGTCTTGTCTGGTCTCTCTCACGCAGTGACGGAAATTCGACACAAGGCGCGGGGCTGGGCCCCAGACCTTCGACGAAGGGGGAGCTTAAGGGGGGCTTCAAGGGGGGCTTAAGGAAAGGGCGGGGGGGGAGGGGACGAAGGGTCGAAAAAGGGCTTGAAGGGGGGCTTGAAGGGGGGCTTAAGGGGGGCTTCAAGGGGGGGTTAAGGGAGGCTTCAAGGGGGGTTTCAAGGGGGACTTGAAGGGAGCTTGAAGGGGGGGCTTGAAGGGGGGCTTGAATGAAAAATTCAATGGACGTTTCAGAGCTCCTCTGGAATGCA